GAGCCTGGAACGTAGAGCAGTACTTCCGCGCTTTATTCCGTTGCTCGTTAATTCACGGACTTTTCCGTTGAGTGAATCGCCTCCTCCCTCGCTGCGAGCCCAACGTAAAACGACGGCTATAATCGCCCGGACAGCCGGACGGGATTTTTCCTTTAGGACATTTATGGTCGCCGGGGCCTGAGATACGGTCCATTGTACTCTTTTTCACCGCGATCGTATATTTTCTGTATGCATAGTGATGCAGCGCGGCTCTGTCTGCCCATTGCAACCGTATTCTACTACCAAGCTTTTCTACTCGTGTTTGCACTTTGACGTTTACGGACACTTTGTTAACCGCTTGTTGCTTTAACCCGTTCACACAATTAGCGGGCCGAGATCGTTTGCATTCGAATGCCGAGAAAGCTCGTATCGTTCGTGAAGCGTTTATCTTATCAGATTTTAACCCTTTCTTTCGTGATTTTTCACTTTGCGAGACAAACATTTGATTTTTGGTCAGCAGGCTCATTGAATTATTACGTATTTTTAACGTTGTTTTCGAACTCCAACATCGGCCAGGCTGGCTGTTATGGTACGCTACATTTAGCGCACTGTGAGCGTACGATTGAAAGTTCATTAACCTTTTCACCGAGACACGATTTTTGCTAGAAATTCTAAGAAGCGTAAAAGTGCGAATTTAAAAAAAAAATCAGCTTATATGGAATGATAAAACGGAACTTTTTTATATTCACAGTTTATTCGTAGAATAAACTTCTTTTCTGTGCATCGCACTGTTACCAGTGACTGCAGCCGCATAAGTTACACCACATGCTCGTTGCTCGAGGTTCTTCTGGTCAGCAAGTTCAACGCTTCTATCGTTCTACCACCGACAAGGCGTTGTCCACGAGCATCCTTAGACGGCAGGAAGAAAAAGAACGAACGTGCGCGGTGAAATTCCCACGGGTCGCATCGTTATTCCGGAATCCGTGTGGAACGAGCATCGCGAGAACAATCGCTGATAATTGCTGATAATGGACGACCTCTGACATCGACGAGCGCGTGCCTTTTTACCGAAAATCAGCCTTCCTGTTTTTTTTTCTCTTCCGCCTTTCCACCTAGCAATTTTGTCTAAGCTCACAGGTTCAACGAACCTACGTTCGAGGTTGATCCATCTCAAAGGCTGTAATTTTTGTATCAATTAGAGACATAAGGGGACGTACTAGATTGTCCCATAAGTTTCCGGACACTTGCTACCAATAAATCATTTTCTGCCAATTGTTCAATTCCGATTTGGATCAAGTGTCATAAAGAATTTTTAATGTCAAAAATTCAAGCATCAAATGCCTGGAAACTTATGGGACAACCTAGTATGGGGAAATGAACTGAATGTGTTCTAAACTTGAGAAGAATGAGTAGATGAGTAGATAACTAGTACATTTGTCACTAATTGTACCTCCCACACATCCTTAAAACAAAAAAAGCCATTCGTGCTATGGAACGTATCGAAGTTTAGAGTTCTTATCGATGCATACTCTAATATGCTGTGAAACTACTAATTCTGTAAGATACTATTTGTGCTCCGTACAATGATTTCCAGGGTTCCAGGAACGATGTTCAACAAAATTTGGACTTCTTTCTTTCTCTCTCGAATGATTATTTTTCAGATCGTATGTCGATTGAGATATTAATAGAGGAACCAGTCGCTGGCCATTCGCGTGGAAAAGTATAGCGTGCATGCTTCAAAAGAGGACGAAGACAAGTCGTGCGTGCCGCAGATGCAGCAAGGTCGGGAGTCTCCAGAGATGATTTGCAACCATCGGAAATGTTCTGTTTCTCGTCGCTTCAGATTTACAACAGAGTCTATTTTGCTTCGCTTATCGTCGTCAACACATCAAACCTTGATATATGTATCCGCTAATAATATCTGCTAATTCCTGTAATGATAAGAATGAGGATGTTTTGAAGATACATCATTCTATTTTTCCACAAATGACACCTGAAGAGTGATTAATGAATACACAGAGCAACTGATCTCCGTCCTGAATGCGAGTATTACAACGTCGAAAACTGAACAATCACTCCCTCGTTGTATTTTTATATTTTAACAAGTAACGACCCGTCTTCGGATTTGTTTAAAAACATCAAACATGTCTCAGTTTCACCAGAATGTGTAGCATGTGACAAGTATTAGAATAAATTTTGATAGTCTTTAATCGCACAAAAAATCCTCACGGTATTAAAATGTTATCGCTATGTTACTACGTATCATAGATTGTCATTCATACTTTTATGTAAGGTGAAAACTCTAAATATTCGTTTATAGATTATTTAGAATACCATTAGTTCGCTTGTTTGAGCATACGTTTGATTATACAATAAGTTTCAAATCATTACAAGGCATTTTTGAAGCAACCGTTCATTCCAATTATTTTTCCCATATCGCTCCAAAAAAAAAAAAAAAAAAAAAAAAAAATAGAAACACTTAACTTAGATCTGCATTGCCAAGAACAGCGCAACTCATTACGCTAATTAATTTACGTTGAAAGGGTTATCTAAATTGAATTTAGAATTCTGAAAAATATAGGCCAGAATACTCGCGGTTGTAATTGACACAGTAAATTGAACGGACACGACAGGTTTTCCCTCGGTTCGCGGTCTCATTGATTGGATTTCAGCGTTTCAATTAACTACCTCTGATAATTGCTGAACGCGAGTCAGAGTACCGGTACCTGTTGAACTAAATCACGAACATATTTTCACTACGAGATACAACGATGTTAGTCGTACATAGGTTCAAGATCACTTTCGTGATAATGGCCTCGAGTAAGGAAACAAAACTTAACGTACTAATTGCGATATCACCGAGGGATCTCGATTCATGGTAATAAACGTAACAGCGCGTAATGAAACCTGTTCCATAGGATTCTACGGTGATTAACATACGTGGGTCGATCGTCGTTTCTCCATTACTCATAGGACGATACGGGACGTTCGTTGAAACTGTGTCGTTTCGATCCCACGTCCAAAATTTATACCTGTCGTGGCCGTGAAGTATCGATTTTATAAAACTTCGCATCCGTCCTCTCTCTGCGACGCGACGTCGGAATACCGTTAGCGTTTCAGGGACTCATGATTGGTTTAAAGTATGCGCAGTCTTTGAATCGTTTTGATACAACGGAAGTGACAGATTCACGATGTTCCTGAGAGTTTTTATCTCATTCTTCTCAAGTCTGTGGCAATCGGTGGAAGTTTTAATTCTTCGCGCGAGTAGATTAATCATTTGTTCATTCCTCAACTTGTTGGCTTTTGCTGTGGAGCTTGGACTTTCTATAAAGTAATTATTGCTTGTAGAGAAGAGTGCTATGCTAAACTAACAAAAAACATAGTGTATTCATTGGTGGGGACATTTGTAGAAAATCGTCACATTGAATGATAACAGGAAATTGAGGGTATCACTTTTTGCCTACTTTATAATTTGATAAATAAAGCATTCTGTAGTGTACAAATACAATTATTTGTTTCTTTTAATAATAATAATAATGTTCTATATTTAAATGAAATAGGTGTTCCAAACATCCTCGTATGATTATATATATATATGATGATAATATATATCCAATAGTGTAATAAAGAACATGACTGTTATTCCAACATATATTAGAAAAATTAATACAGTATTGTGTATAACTTTTCAGACACTCAATCACTAGGGGCACCATACTGTCTTCACGTCTGAACTTTTAAATGCAAAAAATTAACATTATCTGTTATATTTAAAGTAACGGTTACAGTGTTTCGAATATTAATAAATTTGAAGTCTACAATTTGTATAAGACAGTTTGGATATATTGGTTTTCCTCTCGTTTCTAACATACAATTAATAAACCTCTTACCTTTGCAATAGATGGTAAGAATTTACATTTTAATTGAACTTATTTATATCCAACATTTAATTTTATGCCACGTCCTTGACAATGAATCTTATTATTGGAAAATTTATTTTCTAACTTTTATAATTCGTTACGTTAACGATACTCTTAAACAACTTAAGATGTTTTAGCGTAGGGAAAGAATTCCTGGAACGAGAGCCCCTTCTCTCTCGGCATAATTGCTACTTTCATTGAATGTTGTCGGATTCTGAGGATCCAGAGTACCTGGCCGAGTGGGAGGTGGAAGAGTTCTTCTTGGCAAGGTAACTGGCTGTAGGTCTTCCAAGTCGATTCCTTCATTTGTCAGACCTTATAAAAATTATTCGTGCGTAAGTGTCGCTTGGTCTGAACCAGGTAGGAACGTGAACACTTAACCTGAAACTCTATTATTCTGATTTTCCCTTGATTGCGCTAATCTGAGCTGTTACACTTACAGAAGAAGGTAGATGGAATTTAATTGCTACTTAATTAATAAGCCTGAAAATTCTGAGAAATTTCCTAATGAACTTTTAAGCTACATACGTCCTAACTAATGAGAGATGACCGCCTAGAGACTCCCTCCGAACCAACAGTAAAGGTATTCTAATCATTGCATTTAAATAGTAGTATTGAAACGGTACTTTTCGAGTAGTAGCAGTTCAATAATAATATTCGAGTACTCGTACATAAATTCAAATTTTGTCCACATTTTGAGTAATAATATTCGAATAGTAAAATTTTAGTAAAGGTATTCTAATCACTGCATTTCAATAGTATTATTGGAACAGTACTTTTCGAATAGTAGCAGTTCAATAATAATATTCAGATACTTTGTACATAAATTCAAATTTTGTCCACATTTTGAGTAATAATATTCGAATAGTAAAATTTGAGTAACGATATTCCAATCACTGCATTTAAATAGTAGTATTGGAACAGTACTTTTCGAATAGTAGCAGTACAATAATAATATTCAAATACTTTGTACATAAATTCAAATTTTGTCCACATTTTGAGTAATAATATTCGAATAGTAAAATTTGAGTAACGATATTCTAATCGCTGCATTTAAATAGTAGTATTGGAACAGTACTTTTCGAGTAGTAGCAGTTCGATAATAATATTCGAGTACTCGTACATAAATTCAAACTCTGTCCTCGGTATCTACATGTATTCCGGTAGAATATTCTCATAGTCAAGGTCTTAATCTCTTCATGTTTCCCGTCGCCAGCATTCCGTGAAATAGCAAAAGTTTCTCGAGAGGTTTCGACAATCGAAAGAAGATCGTGTCCGCAGCAGCAGAAATGCGATCGGTGCGCTTGGTCCGGAGCGGCACCAGCTCCTCGACTCAGCATTGGCTCGGTGTAATGTGTAACAGCATCGAGCGTGTAACGACCGGGACACAGTTTGTGCCCCCTTCCACCTGGACGGAGCCACGATTCCTTGTTGTGTACCCGCGGACACGCATACGCACGCACGTGCAGGGGGTACCAGACTTACGTAGACGTTGAACACACACGTGGAAGCCAATTGGAGAGACTTGGCCAAGTCTTTATAAGTAGGAGCCATCCGCGTCCTCAGGACTTACTCCCTCTCGAGAACGTGGCGCGATCGGCAACCGATTTCCAGAATAGTTCCTGAAAACACCTCGGCTCGCGTCACTTGCGAGGATCTTGCGGCTCGCGGAGGATCGTGGATCGCCTTGGTGCTTGGAATTCGGATCTAATCGCGACATGAGGATCTATTCGAACTGAAGATTTTCCAGTTCTTCGATTCAAACTCTACGTGCAGGTGAGTGGTGATCACTATCGATACCGTCGATTTTATACTTTCGACGAATCATCGAAATTAACGAATTCTATTAAGTGTTAGAAATTTTTATTAAAAAACAAAAAAAAAAAAAAAAAAAATATTGTGCCGCGAGTGAACGACCCAGAGCTGTCGTTTCAGTGCTTCTCCGAGTGTTTTCATCGTGGACAAGGGCATTCTAAATACGTTGTCTCGCTTTCTCGGGGTGAACGTGCCGAAAATTATCCGGCAATTGCGAAACGTTTCCTAGACCACGAAAATAAACGCCTAACGACAGGCTATATAAAAGATATTAGTATAGATTTAGACTTGGTTGCCGTGGGCAGACGATTCGGGGAGGGTTGTGAACGGGCGCTGTTGACTCTCTAATTACGATACATTAGATAACTGGAGTCGGTTCGAGGACTCGAGGCACGCGTTGACTCACTTGTTTCGTATTTTCTTCGCGTGCCGTAATAATCGGTGTAACGATGACGTCAAAATTTAGTGCGATTAACGAGATACGACGGAGTCATTGCATACATCACCGCGAAATATATTTGGATATCATATACAGGAATTACAGATGACAAAAAGAGTTGGTTTATGTACATATTCCAATTCTCTTATTCGTACATTGGCTTGTATGTACCAATAAATAATTTGTAAAAAATTGAAACAGTAAAATATTTTACAAATGGAGCGATGTTTCGTCCTATTCTGCAAATGTGTATTTCTATTTACCATTTGACTTACGTTTACGATTTACTCTTTGTACATTTTTAATTCGTTTAGGATTATTGATAGCCCAATAATCAATTTTACATTTTTCCCGATATACAAAACTGTTTTCTTAGAAATTAGTAAAGATATCGATTTCATTTGTACTACTGTTAAATGATACAAGGGGACTAGTGTTTTAATGCGCAACAAATTTTGTTGAAGTAACTGTTCGGCAGGAAAAGGGGGCCCGCTGAATTTTTTAAATCGTACGTGATGCTCATTTGATTGTTATTTGGATAGCTCCTATAAAACTGAATAACATTTGATTAAACAGTCTTTTTAAATTATACATAGTCACGGAGTAATGGAGAGAAAATGTGTCAAAAGAAAACTATTAAAACAAGGTTAATTTTTTATATGATCAAAATCATTCTCTTCGACTTACAAACACTTATTTAATTTTTTACAAATATTCTCTCAAACAGATGATAACATGGATAAAATAACCGATGCACGAGCAGAATGTACTTTTTCATATTTTCCTTAGATATAGAAGCAATTTCCATACCTTTGTCTTCTGCGTAACTTCGAAAGAATCGAAATAGCTTACGATACTTGTCTGCTTTCATTTGAACAGCTAATTTTTCTTTTTCGTTATAACTCTGTAACTAAGCGTAATAAAGAAAGTGTTATTTAGTTGTAAAAGCGTCATCCAAACAATACAAAATTAACATCACTTTGGATTAAAACAAATTTAAGGACTCCCCCCCCCCCTTTTTTATCCAACAGTTACTCTACAAAGATGAATTGCGCGCCAAAGGATTAACCTCCTGTTTCATTTAGTTGTACGAAAACTGAAATCGATATCTTCATTATTCTCTGAAACATACAGCTTGTAACACTTTATACGGGACACCCTGTATATGAGGAAGGAGGATAACTTTGCAAGTAACTGTATACACTACCTACTAAACTAACATTACATACCATACAGGTAAAAATTAATTAATTAACCACCTAGTGTCTCTTTCGTGTATCTTTAAATAACACGAAAATCGATTAAATAATGCGTCTCATACTGATTTGGACAGCAGAACAAATTCGAAGAAATCAAATTTACACGACTTTTGATATTAGAATATCAATAGTTGAACAACGATATATAACGATATGGCAATATTCGAACAATAAAATTCAAATAGCGATATTCGAACAATGACGATTAGTACGATTCGAACAGATTCTAAAACTGACACGATTTTTTTCACAAGCCGAAGAGGCCAGCGTCACGTAACTGTTTTACCGGGTTACAGACACGATTTACAAAGGCTACAGCGTGTCGATGACGGACGTGCGTCGGCCGAAAATCCCCCGGGTCGATTGTCGATTCGTGTCGCATCGACAGCGCGCCGAAAATCGCGGAGCTGTATTTGGATCGGCATTCCGGATCGGGTGGTCGAATCGATTCGCCGATCTCGGCATTGAATCGATTCATACAGGAGCCACACGCGATGCAACTGGCTTGTCCTCGACATTGCGTCGTCACGATCTCCGTCTACCGTAAATGGAGCCCTTTCTTAAGGCCGTCTAAAAGTATTTTTGGAGATAGAGTAATCATGATAGTACACACCGCGGAATACTAATCGGAAACTACTTATTCATCCTCTTGCAGTTGAAAGATTAGGACGCTCGTTTCGCTGCACGTTCGTTCATTTATTGAAACGACTGATAACCCTCTTATTACGAACATTCCAATGCAGTGGGACGCGTGGAAACAAACTGACGCATTATTATTAAAAAGTACCGAAAATAAGTTGAAATGGGTTTTCGAGAAGAGTCTGTAGGATTTTGTGTTTTAACCCTTTGACGCGTACGGACGCACCGATGCGTTCTGGTACTGGTGTGTCATAGAAATTGCGTCACTTTGAAAATACCAATTTTGTTGTTTAATTCTCACATGAGCATCGACTATCTATATTAACATGTAATTATCTATCTATCTATCTATCTATCTATATATATATACTGTATAGCTGACATTTTTCACAGAGGTTTCCTTTATGATGTATACAAGAAATAAGAAAGGATATTTCGAAATTCAACCCCTAATGGGGTAAAAAGGGGTTGCAACGTTTGTATGAGGAATATCTTATTCGTGGTCGGATTTGCTCGATACTTGGTCTTAATGCTCTTTGATTGAATTAATCAACCACCGATTTCGGCATTTTAAAAAATTCAACGCTTGAGGGGGTGAAAAGGGGTTGTATATAAGGGGCACACCTAGTTCACAATAAAATAGTTTAGTATAGTCACCATATTTGCAACGCATTCGCATATTTAACAAACTATATTTCTGTGAAATGGCACAATTACTATACCCAGCCCTGTATTTTGCTCGTAAATGCAACAAAGCTTACATCATTATTCTTCAGCTATCGTTCTTTAATCATTATTCTTCAGCTGGGAAAGCACACTTTTCAAGGGGAGATCGTACGTTGAAAGCCTCAAGATTTCCAAAAAAGAAATAGAGAGACGTGTTTCCTCGTCGCACCTCGTATAATGGTCGGCGCTGTTGCTTCGTTGATTAATCGATGCAAAAATATTATACACATGTAACTTTTAATGGAATACCGAGATGCGGACTAACGTGGATCGGGTGAGATGCATTATGCACAAGGCGCGGATGCACACGGTGGTTTTTCACTTCCTTTAACGAGCCATTCTTCCCGTGTTTGCGATAAAAACTGGAAATCCTCGAAGGACATTCCATCCGTTCGTGCAGTTCGCGGGCAGGTCGATCGAAGACCGATGTTTTTCTGACGCTGACAGATTTATATCATTGTCCGTGGCGAAAATCGCGATCCACGGATGCCTTTTAGGTCAAAGTACTCTGAAAAGTTATAGATAATCTTTACGAGAATCGTATTTTAGAATACTATCAGCGAAACTAACGAACCACACGGTAAAATAGAATTTATGCCTTGAAGTTGTGAGACATTTTTGACACCAATCATTTATCTTTGAAAATTATTCTCTTCTTCGAACGACTTCAAATTTATCAAGGCAAATGCTGAGTTAATTACCAGGATTTATTTTCTCTTCTTCGATAGGTATATTTCTTTTCTTCGGATAGAATGACTTCCTACTACGAATTTATTTAATTAATTGATATTTATTAGATATAAAAATTTATCATTCTTCTCTATATCCATTTATCTACAATTATTCTAATCAGTTGGTAATTGAAACAATAAAAAATTCACACAACCCTAAGGGAGAGCTGTCAAATCAGTTACGAAAATCGTGATTTTTGGTCATTCTTTGTGGTTAGAAATCACACTAAAATATAGCAATCTATAAAGCATGGAGTAATGAACATATTCAGACAATTTTATTTAGACAAAAACATTGTCTTTTTATTTTTATTATTCAAAATAAAAGACACAAGAAATCTGAATACTGTCCTGTATTTCATCGAAGAATTTATCAATTTTTGTTTACTGGTGTCAAAATAATATAACACAAGAAAAAACTAAAGTGATCCAAATCGAAGCACCTTATAGCTACTCAGATATTATTTTATTCATATAAATTTTGGAATTGATTCAAGCCAATACACATTTAAATCAAATTACACAATCATGTCTTTCCCCTTAATACAAAATTTTTTGTTAAGTTACTAATCGTAAGATTTGATTAACAGTTTTATCTGTAAAAAACCCAACTGACCGATTTGAAAATATTTTACGCTTGGAGAGTTTAAATATACAAATATAAAGTTTCGTAATAGATAGGCATGGTTATCCATAAATGTGCAGACATCCGTAAGTCACACTTTAGCCTATGCCACTTCGTTAACGAATCGTTCTATGACCTTGCAACTCTTTTCTGCTGCTTCGTTTTCTATGCACGTGGATACTGACGCAGGTGTGACACGCAGAAAAAATGCAAAGTGAACAAAAGAATAACGATATCTCGTTATAGAGAAATCTATCACGGAAAACTCTCCGTTATTGACGAGACATGAAAGATCCGGTTTAATTGAGGCAGAACCTTGACGGATTCCAGAATTCGACGGAAAAACTCGGCGATTTTCCACGGTAAAAGAAAAATCTCGCATTGAGTCAGGTTATTATTATATGATTCTTCGCCTTGTTGGACAAAACCACGCGGTGACACGATTATATCGTTATTACTCTCACCGTGCGTGATTATCGTTCCATCCAACGATCCTCGTTATAACGCCATCATTTTTCTCGTTCCTCTCACCTAGCTAGTAA